CGCATTTGGCGACTGGGGGGCTCGAGAAAGAATGGGGCGTTGCTAGGGCCCCACTTCTTTGACCGACGGCTTCAAGATGGCCCCAGGAGGACCCCCAAGGCTTCCAAGAGGGACCCAGGAGATCCCCGAAACGACCCGAAGAGGGCCCCATGGGGCTCCAAGACAGCCGCCAAAGGCAGCCAGAATTGCCCTAAGAGAGCGCCGCGGCGGCACTGATATGACGACGTTGATGGGGCGTCCCGCAGGCACCTAAAGCGAACGACTCGAGATCCTCGATGATTGATGCCCGTCGTCGTCAGCGTGTTTTTTTCCTCTCTGTCCTTTATATTGCCCTTCCTTGTCCTCCTCCTCCTCGTCCCTCTTCTGTGACCTCCTCCTTTTTTCTGCTCCCTCCCCGTTCCTGCGCATCTTCCGATTAAGTACTCCTGCGCCCTTTTCTTTTCCCTAATGTAACGGTTGTCCTCGTTTTTTTGTTTTGCGCTGCACGTTGCTTCACTTCGCTGTCATGCTTAGCGCAACTTTCTTGGAATTCGAGTCTGCAAATGCTTTCTTCTGCATGTTCTTGCCCCTCCTATTTCCCCCTACTTCCTCCTGCTCCTTGATCCCCCCACCTCTTCCTACACCCTCGCTGGTGAGGGCGCGCGGCGCACGCGCGTTCCGCACGGATCACTGGTGCGCCTTTTGCCTCCCTCAGGCTTCCTGTGCTTCTTCCTACCTCCCCCAAGCTCCTCTTCCGTACTCCTACCTGCTCATGCTCTTGCGCGTTTCCAGTCTTTCCTATCACCATACTCCCTCTCTTCACCGTGTTCATTATGATTTCCATTTCCGCCCTCCTCTCCTTTGCTCCGCTTCCTGCACCTCATCATCCGCGAATGCGGATGCGGCTCGCTATTTTCGCCGCTTGCCCGATTACCCGGCCTTGATCAGGGCGACTCGCCTTGCGGTTGTTCATGGATTGGCTCGTGAGGATTTGAGCAACGCGTCAATGACTTCACCGGGCGTCTAGGTGTTATTGTTGGCGCCTGGGCGTTGCCGCTGGGGTTTGCCACGGGCCAGTATGATTTACAATTGCAGCCGGCGCGTTGGCAGGCATTCGCCTTCCTGGAGACATCTGTCTGGTTTCGCAGTGACCTTCTTTCGCATTGCTCTTGTTTCTTTGCCTCCAGTTTGCGGTTGTATGTTTGTAGCCCTTGGCTGAGCTCCATCAGACGGCTATAATTCCGCTGCCCTCGCTCGATGCATGACCGTCCCCGTGCGATGAGGAAGAATCAAGGGCACTGAAGACATTCGAAATTCGCCGGCCACGCGGCATTCACACGAACGCCCGAGCCACATGATCGATTGACGTGCGCACATCAGAAAAAAAATAAAATAAAAATGAAAACGAAGACGCCAATCCACGCTGAATTCACTCTTAGCACCGGCGAAACCAATTAATACTCTGAGGTACTTGGCTACAGCTGAGTCGATGCACTTATACTCCGTCACTCGTAAAACATACGCCTCAATGCCTGTAAGACCACCCCCTACAACCACGCCCAGGTATACTTCACGCTTAAGTCGTTGAAGACCGTGCTCGCTCCAAAATCTACCAAGTAGAGCCCATCCGCGATGAATAGCTCGTATGCGATTGTCTACTTCAAAAGCATTATGGCCACGCATGCTATATCGTGCTCCCAAGTGGCGAGCGTGTGGACGGACACATCCTCGTTCCTGTGGGCAAAGTTGTTGAAGTTCCTTATTCAATCTATCTGAACATAGGAAAGGCACGATATCTTTCTTGCTCATGTTTTGTGCGAAGCCCCACTTCCCCAGTACCGAATTCCAGTCTTCGTCGCCGCGATGAATCTGTGCTAAAACACCGTGTACATCTGTAACATCGATAAGTCGTTTACGAAACAAATCATCTGCATAACCACTAATAGAAAGATCCGTATTCCCTAAATCGCCAACCTCGCAAGTGAACGTGAGGGGTGTATGCTCAGGTGACTCTACAACCTCATCAACGCATTTATCGAAGACGCCCACAAACTGCTGAGGAGCCTCTCCAGAGCCCTGGAGCCCACCATGCTTCGTCATGAAATGGTGTGGGACCCCCTGCAAGGTAAAAGGGGCGCCTATGGGCGCCCTCGCGCGTTGGCCGAGATGCACTTGTCGAGGCCCTCGCGGACCTCCGGAGGAATCCCGCACTTCAGCACGCCGGCTTCTGAGGCGGCGTGCTGGACGTCGGTGCCCCAGGCAGACATCACGTTTGCCGGGATCCTTCCGCTCAAGAGGACGGACTCCTTGGTAGCGGCGTCGAGGTCGAAGCACATGCTCCGCAACTTGCCGATCGAGTAAGCGTACACGCGCCCAGCTGGCGTCTGCATACGCTGCTCCTTCGAGTCCCCGTACTCTGGGCCCTTGGCCACCGTCGAGGCCCTCACCTGAAGAGCGCTGAGGACGGGGGGTTTGAACACCTTACGGAAGGCGTTCTTCGCCCCCACGGCACCGTCCGCACCGCCGGCGGCCCCAGCGTCCTTCTCTTTCTTCTTGCCCTTGTCCTTGGCCTTGTCCTTGGAGGGCTTGCCCTCTTTGCCGGCTCCCTTGACGCTGCCCTTGACCGAGGGCGCCGTGGCTCCAAGGGACGTAAAGGCGCGTGCGCGACCGTCACGAGCCGCGACGGCCGCCGGCACCAGAAGCGACGACACGGCCGCGTGGATCGCGGACAACTGCGACGTCGAAAGGATCGGCAGGGCAGCCATGGCCTCGGCGAAGGCCTGGATGTTGCCCTGCGGCGTAACTCCGGCCGGCGGCTCAGCCGCCCGTTCGTTTTCGCGGGCGTTTCTATTTGCCCGCGCCATCTTCGCCCGGCCCTTACCCTTGCCGGGGCCCCCGTCGCCACTGTCCGACGAACGGGCACGCTTGGTCCCCTTACCACGGCCCTTCGGGCCCTCTGTGGGGACGGCACCGGCATCTGGAAGGCCGCCGCCTCCCTCGTCTGCCGGAATACCTGCATCCGCCCAAAGGCCCCGGCCCGCCTTTGACTTGGCGACCGGCTTCGGCTCCTTCGGCGGCTCCTCCTTGAACAGTGCAACGCCCATCTTGGGGGCCGCACTGACCTTCCGAGCCTGGGCCTGCTTCTTCGCGAAGGCGCCCAGCTGTTGCTGCTGCTCCTTCGAGACTGGCTTGCCCATGGCCTTCTTGATCCCGACGAGCCGGGCCCTCTCTCTATCAAGAGATTGGCCCTCTGCTCCTCGGAAATGCCCTCGTCTTCGAGCTGCTGTTCCACATTGACCAGGGCTATCTCTGTCATGTCGAAGCCCATTGCGGAACCTTCTTTATCGGTTGGGCCGGCTGACCCGAGAGCCGGGGTCGCCGAATGGTTGCCCCCGGCGCCGATCTCTTTCTTCTTGTTGCACTCCTCGGAATCGGAACCATCCCGAATCGGGGTCCGGCTCCGTCCGTTGGCATGACGCGAGCGAGTGGAAACTTTACTCGCGCGGCTCGGGTTCCTCCTCTTGTCGGGCGGAGGATCCCCAGATTCACCTTTCCCAGAGGCCATCTCGACGTCGACCTTCGTGGGAATCTCTTCGGCAGGCTCCGCGGTCGCGGGCTTAGCCATATCCCCGTAGACCAAGGAGAACCCGCACGGGCGAGTTCGGTCTGGTCCTCGGACCGACAAATCCCGAAGGAATGTGGGATGAACTAACGGAAGAACGGACCGGCTCTTCGGCCCGGCTTCCAGGCCACCCGAAGTAATGGGGCCTGGAGGACGGGCACCAGGACCGGACAGACGTCCTTCCGAGAAGCTCTTACTTTGCCTCCAAGCCGTCCAGGAGGAGGAGGAGGAGGAGGAGGAGCGGGAGGAGGAGGAGCGGGAGGAGGAGGAGGAGGAGGGAGGAGGAGAGGAGGGCCAGCGGGGACTTCGCGGCGATGAAGAGGCGCCACAGGGTGGCGCTCTGGTCCCCATCCTCGACTCGAGCGGCCGCCCGAAGCCTCCGCACGACCCCCTCGGCATCGTCCTCGTAACCGTCGTCGTCGTCGTCGTCGTCGTCGTCGTCGTCGTCGTCGTCGTCATCGTAGGTGGTCATGCTATCTCAGAGGCCTCCCACATGGGGTCGGGGTAGATGTGGTCGGAGGACCGCGCCGCATCGCCAATGCATCGGCGATGTATCGGCGATGCATCGGCGATGCACCGGCAAGGTCGGTGATGCACTGGCGACGTCGGCGTGGAGAAACTCGGGATCCACATCTAGCCGCATCGCCGATGCATCGGCGATGCGGCGCATCCTCCGACCCCATCTACTCCGACCCCATCTGGGAGGCCTGGAGTCATACTATCCGGGACCGTGGCCATGAAATCCACCACCACCCTGGCCTCTGCCCCTCTCCTGGATGCCCCCCAAAAAAGGGGGGCCGATGGGCTGCGACCTGAACCGGTGACGGTGGCGTCTCCAGAGGAAGGAGACGGGTCCTGCTGGAAACGGGACCTGGAGCCTGGACCAGGGCCTTCCCCCCAGGGACCACTGGCCATCGCTCGGACGTCCATTCCCTGTGTTTTTTTTTCCGGTTTCGTGCGTGGTTTTTTCGCCAAATGATCAAGGATGCTCCTCGATGGCCCTCGCCGAGAAAAAATGCACACGTCCGAGCGATGCCAGGACCAGTTCTTCGCCCCGAGCTGTCCCTTGTCGGCCCTGGGGCCTGAGGCCTGCAGGCGGGCAAGAACCTCGAGGCCCGCCTCCCCCAGGACCCGCTGCCTTCGCGGCGAGCAGCGCTCCCCGCCCCTCGCCTCCGCTTCTGGTCGAACTCCCCTTCCGCGCTTGGACCCGATTGCTTTGAGTATCTGTGTCCTGCGCTCTCGCTCCTCCTCCCTCCTCCTCCTCCTCCTCCTCCTCCTCCTCCTCCTCCTCCTCTCCTCCTCCCCTCCTCCTCCTCCCCCCCTCCCCCTCCCCCTCCCTCCTCCCCCTCCCTCCCCCCTCCCCCTCCCCCTCGTCCGGCCGGCGCTTCCGCCGGCCCGCCTGGATCAGGTTCAGCACCCAGCCGAGCAGCGCGCTCGTGGGCCCGCCCAGCAGGGGGCCCAGGAACCTGCTGGGGTACCTGGCGTGCGGTCGGGCTCCGCGTGCTCCACGCGTCGCCGCGGCGGCGGCCCCGGCGGCACGCCACAGCCCGCCCGTGCAACGAGGATATGCGCGACAAGGGTGCAAGGCTTAGTGGGCCCTGGAAACGACAGGGCCGTCTTTTACCCGTTCCGTTTTGCCGTTGTTTGCCCGTTCCGACGCAGCTATTTTACCGGTTCCGTCGCCGTTTTTTGACCGGTTCCGGCTCCAGTTCCAATCCTGGAGCCGTTTTTTGACCGTTTCCGGCGCCGTTTTTTTGCCGTTTCCACTTTCAAGGGGCATTTTTGAAGAAACGGTGAAAAACCGGCCCTGCCGTTTCCGGGGCACACAAAGGTGCAAGGGCCTTGGAAGGCCATGGCGACACTTTGCGAGCGGGGCGCGGCCAGCGAGAGCGGCCAAGGATGGGCCGAAGGGGAAGGCTGCAGAGGTAGCCTTGGAAATTTTGCTCATCCTTATTCTGAAGGTTGGTTTGCGAGCGGATAGCGTGTGGCTCCGCCCCGCGGGGCGGAGGGCTGGGGAAAACTGGGAACGTTGTGGCTTGGAAGGAAGGCCGTCAGCGTGTCGCGCCGAGGCGTGGTGGGCCAGATTCGGCGGAGCGACATGCTAACCAAAAAATCCCGACCCTCGGCGCGGGCCACCCTGCCGTCAAGAGGCACCGGAGGGGGCCGATGTCTCCCCTGCGGCCTGCGGTCCTTCGGACAACGAAGCCGGCCGTCGGGGGTGGGAGGAAGCGAACAGACAATGGACGCATACGGCAAGAAATCTCGATACGAGAGGGGCACACTCTTCGTCAATCTTTGATGGGTCTCAGGTGCCTAAGAGCTTCCGTGGGTCCCTGGGGCCATCGGGGGGAGAACGCCGCTTCCGTCGGGCGCCCGCTGGCAGGCCAATTTTTTTGTGGTGCGCCTGCTGTACCTCCACCCAGCGGGGACTGGCCATCGCTCGGACGTCCATTCCATGTGTTTTTTTTCGGTTTCGTGCGTGGATTTTTCACCAAATGATCAAGGATGCTCGTCGATGGTCCTCGCCAGAGAAAATGCACACGTCCGAGCGATGCCAAGGACAAGACTTGCATCCATAGTCACCGCAGCTTGGATTTTTTGGGGCTCCCTTCCCCAGACACCCGAGGCGCACTGCCAGGGCGCCTCGGCCTTGTGGCGCGTGCTCCAAGGCAGTTCAATGAAGGGGCCCTGGGACACACAAATAAATACACACAAATAAAAAGATTCCCCATATTATCATATATTTTCTGGGTTTCTGTCTTCCTCCCCACTTCCCATATTTTCCATATATTCTCCCTCCTCCCGTCTTACCCCTACTCCTTTCCTCCTCACTGTTTCTCTCCCTGTCCCATTATTTATGTTCATTCTGTTTTAGCGGCTGCGCCAGATAGACGCGGCAGGGAAGGAAGATATCCACCCACGGGGGTACGATCAAAGACGGAGCGGGCGGGCATCGAGCGCTTGGGAGATACATGTTGGTTGACATGCGAGCGCACGAGAGCGCGCAAGCTTACATGTATGGCTGTTGTTCTTCTCGTGACCTCTTGTTTTCGTCATCGTCCGCGACCCCCCGCGACCCCTCCGCGACTCGACCCACCCTCGCCTCACCTCGCGACGCATCCTGCGACACGCCCCGCGCCCGCCAGCCGCACTCTTATCCGGGCGCTCGATCCTTGTTGACGTTTGCGACACGCGCGCGCGTTCGGCCTGCGGGAAGCCGCCAGGGAGTACTACACTCGCCCGCTCTCGCCCTTCAAAAAGCTTTAATTATCCCAGTGCGACCCTACCTAGGAGTTGGAACCCCTAGGAAAGCAGCATTAGTAGTAACAATAACGCTAAGCTAAAGCTAAGTTAACGCTTAGCTAAAGCTAAGCTAAAGCTAAGCTAAAGCTAAGCCACAGCTAAGCTAAATCTAAGCTAAAGCTAAGCTAAAGCTAAGCTAACGCTAAGCTAAAGCTAACCTAAAGCTCAGCTACAGCTAAGCTAAAGCTAAGCTAACGCTAAGCTAACGCTAAGCTAAATCTAAGCTAAAGTTAAGCTAAAGCTAAGCTACAGCTAAGCTCAAGCTAAGCTAGAGCTAAGCTAAACGCTAAGCTAAACGCTAAGCGAAACGCTAAGCGAAACGCTCAGCTAAAGCTAAGCTAAAGATAAGCTACAGCTAAGCTCAAGCAAAGCTAAAGCTAAGCTAAACGCTAAGCGAAACGCTAAGCGAAACGCTAAGCAAAAGCTAAGCTACAGCTAAACTAAAGCTAAGCTAAAGCTAAGCTAGAGCTAAAGCTAAAGCTAAAGCTAAAGCTAAAGCTAAAGCTAAAGCTCCCAGGGGACTGGGGGAACCGCGGGGCGGGGACAGGGGGAACCGCCCGGGGCGCTTTGCACTGCCCGGCCCCTTTAAGCTAAGAGAGTAAGAACCCTTCTAGGCAGAGCCTAGGTAGGGAAAACTGTTGCAAGCCACAAAAATAAATAAAAAGCCTCGCCCAGAGAGTGGTGATGTTGCAAGCAAAAAGGAAGCATACCAAACTGTAGGACCATGAACTTTTGGAGGTCCGCGCAGATTTTTGGGATCCGTGAAGGACCCCTTGGCCTGGCGCGCGGAGCGCGCCAGGGGCGGCGCCCGAGGCGCCGCCAGGGGGGGGGGGGGAGGCCCACCGCCGATCCGAGAAACCAGTGCGCCGATTCAAGGACCAGTGATTTGGGCACTCCGAGGGGGAGCAGTTCGGGGGCTCTGCACTCGCCTCGCCAGTCCGCGCCCAGGTCGTGGGGACGTCTCAACGGGTTTGCACTGTGTTGTCACTCCCCCCCCCCCCAGGCTCGTCTCCCAGGGTCCCATGACCACCGCGACACGGCGAGCGCGACCTGGGCATTCTCCAAGGTGGACCAGCCAGAGGGCACTACACTCGCCAGTTCTTGTGGTGATGTCTCGAGCGGTTTGCTTGCTTTTGCCCCCGGGCCACTCTGCTGAGCCCCATGACCACTGCGACATAGCAGGCGTGGCACTGAGGCACTCCAGGGGGGAGCCGCCACGTTGTGTTACATGTGCCTGCCCGCGCCCAGATTGCAGGGGATGTCTCTGGCCGTCTGCTCGTTTTCGCGGCTGGGGCTCCTCTGCGTTCAAAAAGGGCCGTCAGGATATCCTGGGCAATGCGCTTGTTTTGGCACCCTGAGCGGCGGCTGCCAGGGGTGTGAAAATCACCCGTTCGCGGCCGGATTGCGGGGATGTCTCAGTCGGCCTGCTCGTTGCTTGGAAGGGGCTCCTCTGCTTTCACATCAGGCGCTTGTCTTAGCACCCCGAGGGGGAGCCGCCAGGGGATTGTGACACGCGCTCGTTCCGGCCAGACTGTGGGGATGTCTCAGGCAAATTTGCTCGTTTCGTGGCTGGGACTCCGCTGCTTTCGCAGCAGATCGTGATAATATCTCAAGCACGGCGCTTGCTGTGGTCCCCGGGGATGCACCAGGGAAGGTTACGCTCGCCCGTTCGCGCCAGACTGTGGGGAGGTCTCAGGCAAGTTTGCTCGCTGCGTGGCTGGGGCTCCTCTGCTTTCACAGCGGACCGTGAGGACGCCTCAAGCGATGCACTTGCTGTGGCCCCCTACGGGAAGGCACCAACGAGTGTTAGACTCGCCCCTTCGCGGCCGGATTGCGGGGCTGTCTCAGACGGTTTGCTGGTTTCGTGGCTGGGACTCCTCTGCTTTCACAGCGGACCGTGAGGATGTCTTCGGCGAGGCACTTGCTTCAACACCCCAAGAAGGGAGCCGCCAGGGGGTGTTAGACTCGCCAGTTCGCGGCCGGGTTGGATGTCTCGTTCGGTCTGCTCGTTTCGTGGCTGGGGCTCCTCTGCTTTCAGAGCAGGTCGTGAGGACGTCTCGAGCGAGGCGGTTGATTGAACGCCTCGAGGGGGAGCCCGCTCGAAGCCAAACTGCGGAGATGTGGCGAGCGAGGCGCTCGCTTCGTGGGTGGGGCTCCCGTGCTTCCGGAGCAGGTCGCGGGGATGTTTCGAGCGTGCTGGACGAAGCGCTGGTTTGGGACCCCCCGCCCCCTGTGTCTTCTGGAGCCTCACGAGCATCCCTATGCAGCAGGCATGGCACTCGAGCGCTCCACGGGGGAGGCGCCAGGTTTCGCTGTCGCCACAAGCAAAAAACCTGCCGCCCAGACGCTTACAGACGGAAGCGCCAGGAAATCAAATGCATCTCTGGGGCCGCGTCGACAGAACATGTTCTGTAAAACCGACCCCCATCCCTCGAACCGCGCGCCAGTCGAACCCCCCTTGCAGGAACCAGTTTCGGGCAATTCTCCGCGCTGGAATGCATGTACATGGGCAATCGCAAGTGGCCGGCAATACGCCGCCCCGAGGGGGGGGTCAAGACATGCCCCCCCGAGAGGCCCTCCCGACGGGCGCTCACGAGGCGCCACGAAGCCCACGAGAAGCCCCCAAGAGGCCCCAAGAGGCCCGCAAAAGGCTCCCGAGACGCCTTAATAGGCTTTGGAGACCGCCGATAGGCCCCCAAGACCTCGCAAGAGCCCTCCAAGAGGCCCTCAAGAGCCCTCCAAGAGGCCCCCCAAGACGCATCAAGAGGCCTCCAAGAGACTCCGAGAGACATCCCACGAGACTCCGAGAGGCATCCAAGAAGCCTCTGGCCCACGGAAACTCCTTGAGAGGTCCAATCGATGCCACGCCCCCTCGGTGCGGGCAGCTCCACTGGCACTTGTGCTGGATGAACAGGTGGGTATGCGCGACGCGCGAAGAATTCAAGCTCCTTTCTGTTACGTGGCGGGGGTTGCTGCAGACACCTTGGTAAGTACGCCATAAATTCTGTTTTTTTTCTGCGAGCGCGCACCTCCCAATCATCCTCATCAGCACAGTGTGCAACGCCATCGCAATCCAAATCATTGCCACCGTCATTGCTATCCTCCTCCTCCTCCTCGTCCTCCTCCTCATCATCATCATCACCATCGTCGATACCATTACCACCACCATCGTCAT